GGATGCCACTCCTGAGAAGTACGGGGGGGGAGAGGGGGAGGCACCGTCCACGGCTCAGTCCAAGAACTGGAGGTCCCACGCGGGCACGGGGGGAGGGCACGGGGTGGGGGGAAGAGTTTAGGTAAAGATTGTCGTCTCTGTCCTGCTTATAAAACACCCTGAATGCCTCCGGACCCTTCCCCGGCCCCCGGCGTGCGATCCCAGACTAGTGGCCCCCCACCCCACCCACCGCCCCACGGCTGCCCGCTGGCTGGTGGGGGGGCGGGACGGGGCGGGGGGCCGTCGCTAGTGCTCAGACGCGGTGCTGCGAAACTCTCCATTTTCCGTGATCTGGAGTCGCGGGAGCGGAGGCGGTGGCCCGGGTAGGATCCCGTTCCAGGGCGGGACCATAGCGCCGCTCAGACGCGGGTTTGCTGCACCCACGGCGGAAAGCTGCCTCTCCTGCAAGAGAGCGAGAAGGGGAGAGCGCCCCCTTATTTATGACGGTTAGGGGGCCCAGGCGCTCGCAAAGCATATCCCCCCCCGCGTGGCTTACTCCCCTCCCCCCCCTGCAGGCTCCCTTAGGGCAGGGGTAGGCAACCTCGGGGCTTTGATGACGCGTGGACTTCAACTCCCAGAATTCCTGAGCCAGCGCAGCTGGCTCAGGAATTCTGGGAGTTGAAGTCCACGCGTCATCAAAGCCCCGAGGTTGCCTACCCCTGCCCTAAGGGATCCACGGCTAAAGATCCCCCCCTCCCTCTGAGCAGGAGGGTCCGACTTTCTCCTTCAGGACCCCCACCCGGACTCAGTGGCCCTTCCCTAATGGAGGGAGAGACTAGCCTGGGGGGGGGGGCTGTGGATGGAGAGGCCTCCCCCCAAGGAAGAGAGATTCTCTCCTCTCTTCCTCCTCCCAGAATCTAGCCAGCTCCCCCCCCCAGGAGCTGAGCTGAAATTAGGGTCCCTGTGGCACCCCAACCTTCTGGCAGTTGGGGCTTCCCCCCCCCCGTGAAGGACTGGAGGAAGAGGGACCCCAACTGTGTGCCCTTTGGGGGAGGGGCTCAACCAAGACTTGGCATAGAGATCTGTCGCAGCAAGGTTTGGGGAGGGGGGTCCAGCCAGGCATCCCAGAGCCCTCCAAGGGAGACCTCCCCCCCTCCTCGCTCCCCAGTTCACCGGGGGCACCAGGCAGCCTCCCCTCCCCTCACACACACTAACCTCTCCGGGTCCACGGGCTGCGGGCCCCCTGTACTCAGGCCCCTTTCCAAGGAGGGGGTTCCTCCTGTGCCCCTCCTCCATCACCCCCCCCACATACATGCACAGATAGATATAGGTGAGTGTCCAGATGGCCCATGTGCCTGTGCTTCCCCTGCCACCCCCCCCTCCGAACATGGCATGCTCTTGGCAGACAAGACGAGAGATGGAAAGGAGGGATGGCCGTGATGGAGAGCAGCGGGGAGGGGCATGCTGTGCACGGCAACAGAGGACCCCTGACTCAGTACAACCTCTGAACACCCTCTACCCCCCAGCAGGGAATGTGGGGCTGGTGGGGGAGGGAGGAAGGGGGCCCCCATTCCAGCCGAGGGGGGGCCGGGGAAGCAGTGCCTGCAGGACCCACCTGGTCTGCTACACATGGATGGCGGGGTCCCCTGGTCCCTCAAGTGACAAAACCGGGGCCACACAGAGTTACCTGGTAAACAGCTAGGATGAAACGGAGAAAACACAGGGGATCAGGAGGGCCCAGGGGGGGGGCGCAGCACTGCAGGAAAGGGAGGCCGTCGGGGGGGCTGCTGCTGTGGGACCCCTTGCCAGACCCACGGAGACCCACACTCCACCCACAGGCACCCAATGCGCTTCTCAGGGAGGCGGCCACAACCCCTTCCTCTGGGACTGGGGAGCCCCCTCCTCTGCCCAGCCACGGGGGCCTTGTCGGCCCATGTTCACCCAGGGGCCCGGATGGCGTTCTGTCCAGGGGGCAAGTGGAAAGAGGGGAGCTGCCCTGACCCCCCCCTTCCATCTGGGCCAGACCCAGGGCGACTTCTCCCCCTTTGCTGCTGTCTCCAGGTTCCCCCTCCGCTCCTTCCCTCCCTCCCCCCACCCATCCTCTCTGCACAGGGTGACCCACGGCCCTCTCGGGAGGGCAGAGGTGGGCACTGGACAGGGTGGGGACCTCCAATCCCACCGCTAGAGGGGCCCTGTTCCCCACCCCGCCAGCCCCACGGACAGGACGGGCAGCCACATCCAGGGGAGCAAGCGAGGGGGGGAGGGGAAGAAACGAGGACGGGGGGTGGCGGATGGTCGATGGAGACATGGGAAAGGACAATGACATTGTAATTTCCACCTGAGCGTCGAGCAGCCGCTTCCGCGGTTCGGAGGTGTCGAGGGCGCCCGAGTGATCCCTGCGCAGTTCCTCCTCCACTAGCATCAGCCTGCAGGGACAAGCTTCACTGGAGTCAATCCGGGCCCCCCCACCCGGCAGGCAGGCGGCGGGAGCCGGGGCCGCCAGCAGCTGCGGGAACGGGGGCTCCCAAAATCGGTGGGGCCCCAGAGACCACAGCCGGGGCCCCACCGGTGAGGAGCGCCCCTTCCCACACACCCCGGCAGCTCCGGGAGCCTTCCCCCACAGACACACAGGAGGAGGAGGAGGAGGAGGAGGAGGAGGAGGAGGAGGAGGAAGGCAATGGGAGTCACCGCCCCGCTCCTTGGCTCAGGGGCTCCCCCAGACGTTCCCGGGCCCCCGTGGCAGCCCCACCCTGCAGCTCACCTGCCGATGATGCTCTTGATCTGGGTGTCCTTCTCCACCTGCTGCTGGCGGAGGCGCTTCTCGCTCTGCTCCAGGCGCTGCTGGTACTGCTGCAGGATCTTGCTGGTCTGCTCCTCCTGGCTCATCAGGCGCCTCTCGTACTCCTCCAGCTTCCGGTTGGACATGTGCAGGCGCTCCTTCAGCGAGTGGATCTCCTCCTCGTACTCCTTCACCTGCAATGGGGGGAGGGGAGGGAGGAGCCTTAGGCAGGGGATCCCACTGTGCCCCACAGCGGGCAGCCTTGCCCCTCCCCAGTCCAAGGGCGCCCCGCGGAGGGAGGCTCACGCGGTCCAGCCGACTCTCGTCCATGGACTTGGAGTACTCCTTCAGCTTAAACTCCTCCCGCTCGATGTGGGAGCTCTCTATGTCCGCCGAGAGGTGGGGCATGTTGGAGACCCAGGCCACAGTCCGCTCCGAGGCCGGCAGGATGGGGTTCAGCGTGGAGGGCGTGTGCGAGGGCTGGCAGGACAGGAGGGATGGATGGAGTCAGTCCACACTCACCCCCGAGGCTTCTGAATGGCCACGTGCCAAAAAGCCCCATCCGCCTTGCCGGGGGGCCCAACCCCAGGACATGAGAGGGGGCCCCCCATTTCCCCCTTGTTTTTCCAGCTCCCTCCCCCTCCCCCAACGCGCTATTCAGATTCCCTCCTTCCGTTCTCGGGAACCGCAGCCAGGCAAAATGTTCGACACTCCAAGAGAATTAGACCGTCAGTCGTCATCCTCACCATTATCAGTGACAAGATCACTTTGGATCAGGGATCCCCACCACCGCAGTTCCCTCTCTTCCAGTGGGCCCCCAGACCCCAAGCCCTGCTCAGATTTCCTTTTCCGGAGGATCTGGGGGGGTGCTCTTGGTAAGCCCACAGTTGCCAAAGAGGGTCCCCGTTTTCCCAGACTGCCTAAGGCAGTGGTGGCGAACCTATGGCACAGGTGCCAGAGGTGGCACTCAGAGCCCTCTCTGTGGGCACGTGCGCCGTTGCCCCAGGCCCGCCTCCCCCCCACGGCCCTTCCTTACCAGCAGCCCCCCTTCAGAGGAGAGTTGCCCCCAAGTGCAGCCTGCACAGAGCAGCGCAGCCAAGGACATGGCAGCCGGGCAGCGGGGACAAGACTCCGCCCTTGCACCCCATCGTGCGCAGTTGATGCTGTGGGGCATGGGTGGACAGTGTGGCCACCATGACACTGCTGGGCCGCCTGGGCAATGTGTGGCAGGCCATGGAGGCGGTGAATGGCCCTGCAGGTGGGTGGGACGGGGCAGAGGGTGGGCCCGGGTTTTGGGCACTAGGTCTCTAAAAGGTTCGCCATCACTGGCCTAAGGCCACTGCCTTGTTCTTGAGCAGGGGAACGTGGGGGGGGGGCTCAGGGGACCACCATCCTCCAACCTAGATCGTCTGCTCAAGGAGATCTCAAAGTAAGCCCCTCTCCTTTAAACATTTATTTATTTATTTATTAAATTTATATACCGCCCTATCTCCCTTGCGGGACTCAGGGCGGTGAACAGGTGATACTAAAAACAACGATAATAAATAAATAGTTTGTTTTAAAATCGAATTAAATAACAGGCCTGTTCTAAAAACACACCCGTAAAAAAACCCCCCACTGAAACATAATCAAACTACGCCAGGCCGGCCGCACGGAATAGATGGGCCTTCAGGGCTCGGCGAAAAAGGCGCAGGTCCGCAACTGTACGTAGGTCGGGGGGGGGGAGGTCATTCCAGAGGGCAGGAGCCACAGAGAAGGCTCTCCCCCTGGGGGTCACCAGCCGGCATTGTCTGGCCGACGGCACTTCCACAAGAAGCCAATTGGTGTCCCCTCACCCCATTTTGAAGACAGTATAATCTCTCGCCCATTCCAGATTCCAAAACGCCATCTCTGTGGTGCCAGAGGATCTCAAAAGTTGAGAAAATTACGTGTTGTTTTTTTTTCCTTTCCTCCAGCATTTCTGCTGTGTCAGGGATTTGACTGAACGATTGATTTCCGTAGCCACCCATCTCATCCAAGACAAAACCCCAGAGGCTTTCAAGTCCCTGCTTGAAAAGGCCCAGGGAGGGGGGGGCTCTGCTGCCCAGCCTGAACTCAGGTGAAAGGGCCCCAGCCCCCCCTCACTGACCCTTCACTGCTCCTGCTCTTTTCCCGGCGCTGATCCAAGGGAGGGTCAGGACTCCTACTGGGCCTCCTGCAGTTCAACTTGTGACCCTTTGTTGACCAGGGACTGTGATAATTTTTGCCTGAATGTCGAGCATTTTGGCCTGAATGTGGGCATCCAATTCAGCCTATGAAAGCATCAACGCTTGCCGTGGGCGTCCATCTCAATCCCTCCTTCTTCCCTCCATCGTTCGCATCCCAGGGGCCCTCAGCTCTTGGGCAGGGCAGGTGTCCTAGCAATAAGCATTTAAGACACACAGACACACACACCGCTTCACAGTCCTTTACAGCCCTCTCAGCGGTTACAGAGTCAGCCTGTGGCCCCCAACAATCTGGGTCCTCATTTTACCGGCCTGATGGAAGGCTGAGTCGTCCCTGAGCCAGTCAGGATCGAACTGCTGGCAGTGGGAAGGCAGATTTTTCCCTGCAATCCTGCATTCTAAACATTGCACCACCAGGGCTTGAGTTTTGTTGGCCAAGCAGGGCTCCCGTAGAATGGGGGGGGGGGAGGAGGAAGAGGAGGAAAGGGGGGAAGAGCAGTAAGAAGGGAGGAGGAGGAGGAGGAGGAGGAAGAGAGATGACAAGTGGCTACTGGCAGAGCTGCTACAATTCAGACCAGGGTCAACTGTAAACATCCGGCCCCAGACTCCTTTTAGGTCTGGCTCTCTGGGGTGAGGGTTGAAGGTCCCCAAGAAGCCGTCAGTCCTGTCCTGTGGGCAATAATGTAGCCCCAGTTTATCCATCTCTGCAGGTTTAGGGTCCTTTGCTGCCCTATGACTCAAGGGGAAAAGACAGCAAGTCCTGCCCTCCCCCTACACACACACACACACACACACACAAGCTTCCCCAGGCCTTCTCCCAGGGTTGCCTCCAGCTGCTGTCCGCATTTCACTCAGGAGCTGCTGGGTGTGGCAGGAACCTCCAGAGCGGGAGAAGCCCCAGGAAAGCTGGAGCTTCACACTAATTAGCGTCCTTGCTTTCTTTTCATGTTCCGGATGCATCGTGAGGGGACGATGTTTGGGCAAATGAGGGAGGGGCACGTCACGCCATGCAGCCTCAGGGAGGGTGTCCAGCCCTGGCAAAGGAAGGACGTTCCCTACTCCTGGTTAAAGGGGAGGGTGAGAAAGAAACTCAAGAAATGGCCACTTGATTTCACTAGGCAGACGGTGCAATGGAGGGTTGCGTTGACCAATTCTGGATTACCCAACTAGCATTGAAGTTTGTAGCCGAAATTCAAGCTGTTCCTGTTGGCTGGTCTTATTGCCAACCGATGCTCCTCTACACAAAGAGCGTCGCCCTCTGGGACAGTCCGGGCCTTCATTCTGGAAGGAGTGGGCTGAAGTTGTGCCTGTCCCAGGACACTGGGCGCTTCACCCTGGCAGGGGTGCCTGTGGTCACAATGGCTCCGGGGATGTTTCCTGGAGATTCCCAGGTCCTCTGAACCAGGATCACCACTCAGTTCGGCAGTGCCAACGCCAGCGGTCGTGGCGATCGCGTGCAGCAAAGGTGGTTCCGTGACTCTGATACACCGACATCGTGGTTAATTCTTAGAGGACGCGCCTCTCCTTCTCCAGGGACATCCTTCTCCATCCACACTCAGCGGAAAGGCAGCTACTCCCATCTTGTCAGGGGTGTGTGCGTGCGTGCGTGCATGCAGACAAAGGCTTTGCAGGATCCAATCTGAGTGGATCACGGGGACAAAGGTTTGTTCTTCCACGTTTTGGGGCTCTTTCCAGAATATGTGCACTAGGCTGTTCTACATGTTGTATTTATATGGGTCCTGGTGATATGTAGCTTTTAGTTGTTAATGAGGGTGCTGATGCCTGACTATTGTCATTGATTGTTGTTTCCTTGTGGTGCTGTTCCCTCAGGGCCTAAGTATCTGAAGTGTAAAGGTTTTACACTTAGGCCAGAAAAAAACCAAGGTATAGCTGCAATTAGGTCAAACCTGGCTCAATAGGAGCAACTGTGAGAGGGATCGTGGAGCCCGAGTGGACAATGACTTAAATATGAGCCAGCAGTGTGCAGCAATAGCCACAAAAGCAAATGCAATCGTAGGCTGCATTAATAGCGGCACAGAATCAAGATCATGTGAAGTGCTGATACCACTTTATAATGCCTTTTGGTAAGACCACACTATAAAAAAGAAATGTTGACACTCTGGAAAAAGCGCAGAGAAGAGCAACAAAGATGATTAGGGGCCTGGAGGCTAAAACATATGAAGAACGGTTGCAGGAATTGGGTATGGTCTAGTCCAGGGGTAGGCAACCTTGGCTCTTTTATGACTCGTGGACTTCAACTCCCAGAATTCTGAGAGTTGAAGTCCATAAGTCATAAAAGAGCCAAGGTTGCCTACCCTTGGTCTAGTCTAATGAAGAGAAGGACGAGGGGTGATATGATAGCAGTCTTCCAATATCTGAATGGCCGCCACAAAGAAGAGAGGGTCAACTTATTTTCCAAACCACCTGAAGGCAGAACAAGAAAAATGGATGGAAACTAATCAAGGAGAGAAGCAACCTGGAACTGAGAAATTTCCTGATTGGGAGAACAAAAAATCGGATGAGCGAGCTTCCCTTCAGAAGTTGTGGGGCTCCATCTCTGGAGGCTTTTAAGGACAACCTCTTGTCTGGAGTGGTCTACGGTCTCCTGCTTGAACAGGAGGTTGGACTAGAAGACCTCCAACGTCCCTTCCAGCTCTGTTATTCTGTTAAATCAGCACACCTGTTGACTGACGTGGAGCCCATTTCCCAGGCTTCAATCATTTCTCTGGCTATTTTTGTCTCTGCTTAGCCAACAATCGTAGTAGCTGCCAAATTGAATGCCCATCCTGGTTCACTGCAGTGTGAGGCGATCAATGAGTTGGGGTCTTTTTCCAGAGCCCCTCCCAGAGGCTGTAAGAAACAGGAGACTCCTCTGGCTGACCCAAACAGTGGGGTATCTCGTGGGAGTGCATAAGAACCAGATGCCGATCCTGTTGCCAAACGCTGAATTAGACCTTTGGAAGACCTGATCCCTCTCTTCCAGGCCCATTTCATTCCTTCTCCACACCTGAACACTTTTGCTGCTGCTTCTGCATCTTCGAAGGCTGGGACGACATACCAGATGAAGGACACACTCTCACTGCCCAAAAAGGCAGAAGTCAGAAATAGGGAGCCACTCTCTGTCCTGACACACTTTGAGGGACATGGGGTAAATGTTGCCATGGGAACCGCAACCTGGGACCTGTGGGGAGCCGAGAGCGAGGGGCACAACCCTCCCGCTCTATCTGGACTCCTGGACAGGAGAGGGTCACAGGATCACAGAAGGGGCCTCAGAGGACATCCAAGCCAGCCCCCCACATGTTGCAAGACCCACCACACCCTCTCCAGTCTTCAGTAGTTTGGGGGGGCAGGGAGAGGGCTCCGATTGCTGCCTTTGAGGAAAAGAGGCCTTCAAGCACATCGGAGTGGGGTGCCGCAAGAAGATGCAGAGGAGGCCACTTGAAAGTGGGGGTCTGTATCCTTAAGATACCGATGACACCATGGCATCAATGCCTGCAGGCCGTCAGGGTCCCAATGAGACTCACCCTTGGATGGAGGGGCTATGGGTTCAAGGACCTGTGGGCTCTCGGCCCATCTCCACCTTCGCCCTAGAGCAGGGATGGGCAACCTTGGCTCTTTTATGACTCGTGGACTTCAACTCCCAGAATTCCTGAGCCAGCCATGCATACATGGCTGGCTCAGGAATTCTGGGAGTTGAAGTCCACGAGTCATAAAAGAACCAAGGTTGCCTACCCCTGCCCTAGAGGGGAGGGCAATCTTGGGCTGCTTTTGGACTCTCAACTCCTGCCCACTCGGGAATCATCTCTGGAGCAAAAGGCACCACCCATGCACCCTTGTCATCAGAGGACTGGGCTACCACAATGCACTCTAGGTGGGGCCGCCCCTCAAGACCACCTGGAACTTGGTCCAGCCTGCAGTACAGCCGCCTGTACGTTCACCAGAACCACCAGGGACTCTCGCAACGCCCCCGTGTTGCGGAAGCTGCATCCGTGGCCCGTTTTACCCCCACGGTCGTTCTATTCCTTGGACGTCCTGGACTTGACGCATGCTTCAAGATCAGCTGCTCCAAAGGGAACCTGCTTGCGGAGGCTGCCCGCTGCCAGGCCCTGCCCCACAACAGTGGCAACTCTGCAGACGCTTCACACACATACACGCACACACCACACCGATTGCCCTCCCAGCAGAGAGAAGAGCGACACCTTCACCCCCAGGAAGCCCTCCCAGTTTGGGGGGATGAGAAGAGGAGGCTTTCCAAGCTGAGCTGGTCCAGGCTCTTTGACATTAAGATGCAAGAACTTCTAGTGAAACCAGACATTCAACAGCCTCTCACTTGCCAAAGTGAGGACTTCAAGAAAAGGCCTAGGTGTGACGTCTCCCTTCCTCTCTTTATGAAGGACAGAGCGAAATCCCAAACGGGGAGGAGGTGAATAAATGGGTCCCCTTCTTCTATATAATTCAAGGCTGATCCGGGCAAGCCCTGAGCCCAACCTTGGAAGGAAACCAGGAGCAGAGGCCCACCCATTCAGGTGTGCTCTGTGAGTCCTCGGAGCAGCGGCGGCTGTGGTACCTGGGAGTTGGGTCCCAGCCAGTAGCCTCGCTTCCCTGAACAAGGAGGGGAGCTGTGGGGTGGACCCGCTGACTTCCCTGGAAGGCCTCTGGGAGGGAGACCTGCCCTCCCTGGGGTCTAAGAGGTCTCCTGGTTCCTAGAGGGTCCAGGCCCCTTGCTGGGCAAAGTGTTCTTTTAGGCAAATGAGGCAGCTTCTCTCTTACACTGAAAAACACAAGTAAAAGAGCTGAGCTGCCTTGCTTTAAAAAAACACAAAAAAACCTCCGTGTTTCAGTCAAATCAGGAAAAGAAACAAGAGCTGCCAAATTGCAGGTTTCCCAGCTGATCACAAAATGCGTTTTGAAACCTTCCCTAAATCTCGGCGCTCGGAAAGATGTGCCTGGCATTAGTGCGGTTATTTGGGCTCCGGCCGCGGCTGGCAGCTGCCCGGGTCACTCACCTGCTTGGTGATGGATGGCTTGAGGGCAGAAGGCGCCTCCTTGGTGACCGACTGCTGGCGGGCATGGGTGGGGGCATAGGTGGCCTCGGGCTGCAGCAGGTTCCCACTGGAGGGCCGAGGCTTCTGAGCCGCCGAGACCGTCAGCTGCTGGGACTTGCCCCGCTGCAGGGGGGGCTGCGGCTGGGGGGCGGGGGCCGAGCGCTGGGGCTGGGGGCCGATGGTGATCTGGGGCGGGGAGAGCATGTTCTGGAGGTTCTCCTGCAGGGACAGCTGGCGCTTAGTGAACTCCGAGCCCTGGCGCGTGAACTCGTCGCTGTAGCTGTGGCTGTGGATGATGTGCTTGCTGGCCGAGAGGTCCTCGCTCTTGCTGTAGCCGTGGAAGGGGGCGAAGGTGTCGGCGGGGTTGCCCTCTGCTGGCCGGTGCGGGTGGGGGGCGTGGAGCGGGCCGCCAGCCGGCCCGTCAGATGCCATGTGAAAGAGGGGGTTCTGGAAGGAGAGGGGGATGCGGAGCTGCTGGGCGGAGGAGGGGCCGCCCCCGTCGGCGGTGACGCCCATCTGGCTCAGCCGCAGGCCGGCCGCGATGCTGGAGCCGCTGCCCTGGGAGAGCCGGCTGGGCCGCAGACCCAGGCCAGCGGTGATGGAGGCCTGGCTGCTGTTAAGCATGTCGCCCACGCTGTGCAGGTTGGAGACACTGTTCATGCGGCTGTCCTGCAGGTCCAGCATGGAGACGCTCTTGTTGACGCTCAGCACTTTCTGGTCCGGCTCGGTGATGTCCGAGCTGCTGGTGCAGTAGGCGGGGGAGGAGCGGGCCAGGGGTGGCCGCGGCACGAAGAACATGTCTTTCGAGCCCTTCTCCTTGGTCGGGGAAGGCAAGCGCGTCATGTCGATGGAGCTGCGGAGGAAGGCAGCACGGGGAACTGACGAGGGCAGGAGGGAACCGAGTCTGCAAAGGGGTGGGGTGGCAGGGCAACCCCACAGGGCTCTCGGCCTCCTCCGCAAGCGTGCGCAAGGCCCCTGACCTGGGAGACCAGTTGAGGAACAGGGGGCGGTGGGGCCAGGCTGGCAAAGGGGCCCCGACCATTTGCGAGGGCAGAGGGACTGGGCCCCATGCCCAGAGAGAAGGAAACTTCTACACAGGATCCCAGCCTCCCACAGCCTCACCCCACAGTCCTTACCTGTTCATGGCTCGCATCATGTAGGGCTGCATGTCAATCGAGCTGTGGGGAGAAATCCAGAGTCAGCCCAAGGGGGAAGCCCTTCAGGGGCGTGTTTATACCCTGAATCTCCCGTAGGCGACCTGGGGAAGTTTCCCTCTACGGCCTCTTGGCGTTATTTATAAGGAAACCCAGCAGAGGCCCAGAGCAGAGCCCACCTCGGGTGGGACCTGCAGCTGGATGCCCACCCGTTTCCTGTCCTCCAATGCCCCTCCCCCTGCCCTGTCCCAGCCTGACCTGTTGAGGTCGCGCATCATGTACGAGGACTGCACTTCGGCCGAGGGTCCGCGGAGGATGACCGGCTTGGGCTGGAGCCGCTCGCCCTGGTGGCTGGGCTGCCGCTGGATGTGGGGGTTCCTGAGAGCGAGGCTGATTTCGTTCAGCAGACGGGGCAGCGGGCCCAGCTTGATCAGGGCTTCCTACGCAGGGAGGGAGCCGCAGACGGGCACTCAACACCACCACTGGCAAGCAGACGAGTGCAGCCCCCCTCCTCTGCCCTACATCCCCACCCCATCCATCCCCGCCCCACCCGCTCCTGGCAGGCACCTTGCTGAGCTGGGGCAGGACCTCCCAGAGCAGAGCGTGCAGCGTGGAGAGCTCCCGGCCGAGGTCGATGTAGCCCTCGAAGCTGGTGCTGTTGGTGAGGGTGTCCAGGTTGGAGATCTCGTACAGGAACTGCTGCATGCTGGCCCACTCCAGCTCCAGGAACTCGTTCATGAAGGCCATGTACTCCTCCTTGCTGCCAAACCTGCCACAAGCGCCACGTTTTCCATCACTTGCAGTGTCACTCGAGTGGGGCCCTTCCGATCGCCAACCCTGCCCGCCCGTGAGTGCCCAGCACACCCTCAAACACCAAGCCGTGTACTGGCCGTCACTTTGTGCAATGCCAGCCTGTCTCCCCCTCCAGCCCCTCGGGGGGGAGGGGAGAGCCTGGATTTGCCACCAAGGTAGAGGTCAGCAAGCAGCACACCGAGAAAGAAGGGGTATACTGAAAGAAATACGTGCCCCAAACTGCATATGTGGGGGACTTGTATGGACTGAACCCCTCCCGTTCCACCCTCTCCACCTTGTGGGACGCAGGCAGAGACCACTCCACCTCCGGCCTGAGCGATAAGTGTCCCCTGAGGTCATCCATTCCACCTCTGTTCCCACCGTTTGCTTCCCCTGCCCGAGTCCTCCTTCTTCCAGGAAGTGTTTACACCTTCAGGTGCGGTCCACCTCCCTGTGACCTTGATCCATTCCCATCCCCAGGACGGAGAGCAGACCAGCCTTGCCTACATCGCCCTGGCAGGCATTTCAAGAGGGGAGCCAGGTCCCCCCGCTAGGTCCCCCTTCTCTGCCTCCATTGGTTCCCTCCCTCGCACCTGCCTTTCAGAGGGACCTGGCTGCCTTCTGGGCCTCGACAGATACCTCCCCCCCCTCAGGGCTGGGGCCTCAAAAACTGGAGCCAGAGACAGAGGGAGCCTGGCCACACCGCAGAGAGGGGCTCTTCCCCAGAGCTCTGGCCTGGAGCTTTGAACTGGACATATGGTGGAAAACTCACCCCCACCACCCTGAACGCATCTAGCCCAGCCGGAGGGTACCTCCCCCCGCACCCACTGCCTCCTGGCCTCCTCCACACTCACTTGGAGAAGTTGGCCAGGTTCTGGATGACCTTGGCGATGAGCGTGAGGGTACGGGACGTCTGCTCGTCTGGGTACTCCTGCAGGAGGCCGAAGAGGCTGGGGGACATGACAGCCGGACACAGGAAGCGCAGGAAGAGGGAGGCGCTGATCAGCCGGTCGGCGATGTCTTCCCGGCCCCTCTCGGCACAGCGCAGCCGCCACGATGCAAAGACCTCCTTCAGCTCCCGGGGGAACACGCTGGGGGGAGGGGGCAGGGGAGGGCAGGATCACTGCCTATCCCCCCACACACACAGGGCTGCCTCACAGCCCCCAGGTTGCCCTCCCCAAATGACCTTCGATTTCTCTCCCCACATCCAGACCTTCTGGGAAAGGGGCAGGTGGGGGTGAGGCGCCAGCCCTGCACTGACCAGTGGGAGTTGACCACTTTGCACAGAGCCAGTTCGCAGCACATGCGGAGGTTGGCTTGGTGGTCCGCCAAGGTGGAGGCCGAGCACTTCATGGGGTCCACCTCGCAGTTCTCCTCGGACTCGTACAAAGCTCGGATGAACTCACCTGGGGAGGGGGGCAGAGCAGACAGATGATGGGACCAGCAGGCCCCCCTACCCTCAAGCACCCAGTGGCTCAGCCCCACACAAAGTGCCAGTTAAGTAGGGAGGAGCCCCTCCAGAACAGGAGTGGAGCCAGGAAAAAGAAAAAAACCTAACCCAAATTCCTGTGATCGCACCTCCCTCGCCACACCAAGGGTTGTGAAAAGCTGGGGCCTCTCCCCGTGTGCCCCTCCCTCCTCCGGTGCGCCTACCAATGGCATCCTTGAGGTATTTTTGTCCAATCAGCTTGAGATACTCCTCTATGGCTTTGGTGGCCAGGGTGTTCTCCCGAAAAATGAGGTGTTCGCGGTCCATGAAACGGTCCACTTCCGTCATGGCCATGTCGGACAGGAAGTCCTGCCAGGAAGGGGGCAGGAGAGAAGCTGCAGGAGCTGTGCTGCTGCTGCCCTCCCAGGGCTCTGGGCCCCTTCCTCTGGGGCCCCACTCGCCTCCCCCTTCCCTCCCACAGCGTACCTTGGCCTTGCCGGTGCTCTGGAGGATGTGCACCAGGGCGCAGGCCACCTCCTCCTTGCTCTTGACGCTCAGGACGGGCTCCAGCACAGCGCACAGCATGCGGTAGTTGTTGGTGACGTACTCGGCGAACTCCTTGTAGAGCTCCATGGGCAGGATGCTCATGGCCTGGAAGCGGCTTTTGACCCGGACGGCCGGGCAGCCGGCCTTGCTCTTGCTGGCGCTGGGCTGGCTGAGCGGGTACCACTGCTCGGCGAAGTGGCGCCCGGTGACGCTGGCGATGGGGATGCTGACCATGCCCACGTAGTTGCTCTTGTCCTTCTTGCGCTTCTTGTCCGTGTCCTTGTAGAGGTGCAGCCGGATGGTGCGCACGGCCGGCAGGTTGTTGAACTCGAAGTGCTCCCCCCAGAAGACGTTGTCCGTGCGTATCTTGCTGGTGGTGCGCGCGTAGAGCATATCGTCCAGGCACAGCTCACAGTAGTAGCGCTTTTTGGGGGGCAGGTCCCGTGCCTCGATGATCCAGAGCTTCAGCACATTGTCCACACGGCGGCTGTTGTCCTGTGCAAAGAGGAGGAGGAGGATGACGAGCCTGGAAGGGGTGCTCCAAAATCAGGGGGCCCAACCTTGGCCACTTTAAGACTTGTGGACTTCAACTCCCAGAAATCCCCAGCCAGCACAGCATGTACATGGATCAGCACAGCTGGCTGGGGAATTCTGGGATCTGAAGTCCACAAGTCTTAAAAGTGGCCAAGGTTGGAGACCCCTATTCTAACCAGGTAACAGAGAGGGGCAGGGGGGTTCTCCCTCCCTCAGGAGCCCCTCCCTCTCTTCCCATGCCCACGGGATTTTTGATACACACAAGATGTCTGGACACCTCCTCCAGCCCAGCAGAGCCCCCATCCCAGCATTCTCAGCTCCGCCAAGCCAAGGCCCCCCTCAGTCTGGCTTCAGCCTGCTGTGCACACCTAACTACACACATTCCACACACACACACGGTGCAGGACTGGGGCCCTCTGCCCAGAGAGGCGAGCTCTCCGTGGTGCACCAGGAAGCATCACCCCAGGAAGCGCCTATCATTTCCCCCAGCTTTTTAACTGACAGACGGATATAGCCATTTTAGCTCCTATTAATTTTTATTCCTCTGCTTTGGGTTTATAACCATGTGGGAGGGATCCTATATCCTCCATCTCATAAGCAGCGGGGAGAATATCCACCATGGGGTGGCCTAAAAATAGTACGGAGGAGGAACACGGCAGGAGGCTGGAGAGAAAGAGGCCCAGAAGTGGCTTCACCCCAAGGGCTGGAAGAATCTCGGGACAGGGAGCCTTAGAGGCCATCTAATCCACTCTCTTGCCCACCACTATCAGAGTTCCGTTTTCTTCTGAAACACCTCCAGACAAACAATCTGTGCTGTTCAGGACCAACTCCTGCCGTGAGGAATCTTCTTCCTTGTAAATTAAATGCAGAGCTGCCCGCCTGTTTTGGGGGACAGACAGACACACACACACACACACATACACGCCACCTTGTCTTCTATCGGCAGCTCTTCAGCTACTCAGAGGTGGCTGTTGTGTCTGCCCTCTTCTCTTCCAGACGGGCCTGCTAAAGGTTTCCCGGCTTCCTGCTGGCTGTTTTTGGGACAACGTCCCGTTTGCCCGGGTAAACCGAACTCCACATTCTGGGTGTGGCCTAACCCACGCGAAGGGAGAGCAGCAATTACATCTTTTGGTCTTGACATTTTGACCCCCGTTGTCCAGGGTGATTCTCCGTCCTCCAGGTCACGGTTGTCCCGAAGGTCCTTTCCCAAAAGGCAGGTGGACTTTCCTGGGTTTCTTGACTTCTGCCGATGCAGCCAAGGACGGCCTTGGCTTTGTCTACAGCTGCATCACACTCTTGGCTCGTGCCCCGCTTGCGATTTTCCCACGTTCTTTCTGCAGGCGGCTCTGCCTGGCACGCCACCCTGTCTTGCACTCCTGTTCTTGATTTTTCATTTGTCCCTGTTGAAATTCCTCTAGCAAGTTGCTGCCCCTCGTTCCAGCTTGTCACAATCCTCCTGAATTTTGATATTCCTCTACAGCACGGGTGTCAAGCTTGCCACGTCACGTGACGTGTCGTGACGTATCGCGACTTTTTTTTGCATTGCTGGAAATTGCTGGGGTGGACGCAGCCTCCGTATGATGCAACCGGCCTGCGGGGCTGGCAGTTTGACACCCCTGCTCTACAGTGCGTGCGTGTGTGTGATTCTGCCTAGGTCTCCGTGACTCTCTACAACTTCAGCAACCACATTTTCCAACGACCCATCCTAGCTTATAAAATCATTGACCGGCACAGAGCGCAGAAGAGAGACGGTGGGGCAGCACTCAACGTTTCTCTGCTCTCCCCAGCTTATCCAGAAACCCCAGGGGTCCTTTCTTGGGTGCAAGGGTTCAACCAGCCCCAGCTCCACCTAGTGGTAACATCCAGCCCAGATTTTCTCATCTTCTCCACAAGGACCTCCTGGAAGCTTCAGATGTTTTGCTGAAGTCAAGAAGGTCCTTCATCCACATTCCCCTTGTGGACCGGTCAAGAGAGTTTTATTCTTGATCAAAGCAGCTGGCTCCCTACAAGACGTGCTTTCTTCTCTGAACGATGATTACGTGCTATCAAGTCTGTGTGAACTCTTGGCACCACATACACCATCCCCAAGGGGGGGGTCAATCAATCAATCAGAATAGAGCTGGAAGGGACCTTGGAGGTCTTCTAGTCCAACCCCCTGCTCAAGCAGGAGACCCTATACCACTTCAGACAAATGGCTGTCCAGTTTCTTCTTAAAAACCTCCAGTGATGAAGCACCCACTTAAGCACCCTCCTTAATTCCAGGTTGCTTCTCTCCTTGATTAGTTTCCATCCATTGTTTCTCGTCCTGCCTTCTGGTGCTTTGGAAAATAAACTGAGACACCTCCCCCCCTCTTCTTTGTAGCAGCCTCTCAGACAGTTCTTCAGATGTACCGATGGTGCAACCGTTATCAACAAAGCAAGAGTCCGTTCCCCTCACTGCTGCTCCTCTGTTTCTCTTCCATGAGCTCATAAACCGACTGCTGGACGGTCTGTTTCAAGGCATCGCTCAGTGTTGACCTCAAAGGGGACGTCGTTCAACCTGCAGCGGCAGCACATCGCAAGACCAGCAGACTCCCTTCCTAGAGGTGCGGTTCCCGTCAGCTGAGGATTCCCAAGAGAAGGGTCCCCAGAGATGATTCAGGACAGCCTAACTGGCAGATTAACGGAGCAGGGACTCCGTGGGTAGCCTGCTCACCTGCGGGGATGACTCCACACAGGCTGGCAGCACCACTTCCCAGAGCAGACCCAACACCTGATGTTTCCTGTCCCTGATTTGGCAAAATATCCGGGTTTTCTGAGTACACTGCTAGCTGAGTTGCATGGCTACTGTTAGTCACCACAGGAGATGAGGTAACATGTATTCCCACACAAGCCAAGATCTGAGGGAAATAAACCCGTCAGTCCAACTTCTAACCGTTAGGAGGATAACAAACATCTTGACCAGCAGAGGGCAGCACGGCTTTCTCCATAATACATCTGGCCAGTATTTTCCCCGTTGTTGGCTTAGTGGACGGAGGGATCGCTGCGGAAGTAGTTTATCTTGATTTCCAGCAAACAGAATCTACAGAACTAGTGGCAGACTTATCACTGAGAAAGTCCCCTTCCTTCTTTTCCCGAGAAACTGTCGCTGAACGGAGCACAGAAGCCGAGACGGAAGGACAGACACCTTAGATGGACCCTGCCATATATGGTCTGCGCAGGCGGGGGGGGATCTCTTACTGGTTTCAGCCCCAGCCTGGGAAACATTTTGCAAAACACCAGAAAGGGCTGCAGGGTGGGAGAAGATCCACATCCTTCGGCCGGGTACAAGGAGGATATTGTAGTTATTGTCAGGACGCATATGGCCTCCTTCTCTCTGGGCCTCTGAGGAGGGGCAAAATGCCCACCCGCCCCCGTCCCATGTCCACTAAGGCCCACGCTCAAAACTCCTGCATCTGAGGCTTGCAGTGCCCCCCGTCCTTCTTCCTTGGGGCTGCTGGGGGAACGGGAGCAGGGCCTCCCCCTCCTTCAGCAGAGTCAACCTCCCGGGTTGCCCAGCCCAGCCATCACCATGGGGGGGGAGGGAAGGCCCCCCCCACTAGTTCAGCTTGGACACAGAGCCCTTCTGCCAATCAACGCCAGCCACCAATTTCATGGGTCATAGCTAAGGTCTTGGAGTGCAGCGACCGGCGGATACTTCTCCGTGATCCTTCAAGAAGCCGATCTGGAGTTTTTCTGAAGATTCAGCCTTGGCCCTTCTGAAACGGCCTGCAGGGAGAGGCGAGTGAATTCGCACTGGCTCCCCCCTCACTCTGGACAGCCCAGAAAGGGCTGCTGGACCTGGGTGCCAACACAGCTGCCTCCGGCCTCGGCCGTGTTTTTGGATCGGAGCCAAAGGCTTCCCGTGACCCTAATCCACTTTCCGTGTCCCGTGCTCTGGAGAGGGTCCCGGGCCTTCTCCGTGGCCTTTCGGGAAATGGGGAGAGGGGGATGCCCCCCACTCCTCTTTCCAGGGCTGTGCTTTGTCGGCTCCTTCAGTCTCCTCCCTTCACAAGGCCGGCCAGGTTGCTCTGCGGCCTCTTCCCGGGGGGGTCTCTTCTGCCTGCCGAGGGACCTTGCTGGCCTTACCTTCAAGGGGGGGGGTCTCTGAAGGGCTGCAGAGGGTGGTGGGAGCTCGACTGGGTGGGCTGGAGTGGGGCGGGGATCGGGGCTGGAGCCCTTCAGACCAGGAGCTCCAAAGGGGCCGGGGAGTCCCTCCCCACAGCCTGGACCCCAGCCCCGCACACAAAGCCAGCCGTTTTGGACAGGGGGAGGGGCGTTGGGCTAGGAGAGCACAGCTGGTGAGAACTTCTCCTGGCTGTGGAAGTTCTATTTAGCTGGTGGGAGAGACTTGGAAAGTTGGAGGTCACCCGAGGGGCCACAGCTGGCCCCACGACCATGGCCACCACAAGGAGCCTCCACAGGGAGGGGGAAGGAACCCCTTTCAGTGGGTTTGGGGGAACTTTCAGGAGGAGCCCAGAAGGGTCTGAACCCCCAAAGCCCAAATTCACACCCAAAAACTCCTGGGCTGGCTCAACTTGGTGGCGGGGGGGGGGGCTGTTTTCACCCTCAATAGGCAAAAGATGAAAACCGAGATGCCCCCCCTCAGGTTTCCTAAGGGAGCCGGCCCCTCCCATTTCAGGGTCCCCAAAAGTGGCCCCGGGATCCCTGGGGGAGTGAAAAGCCAAGAGGGCCCTTCCCAAGAGCCAGGCTGCCTCGGCAGGGCCACGGAGGAAAGACCCAGGCGCCAGATGGGGGAGCACCCCAAACCTCAAGGGGACGGGGGGCGGGGGAGGGGCTCCTACCTTGTTGGGCTTGACCGCCCTCTGCAGGTTCTCGATCCACTTGTCCCGCTCGGCGGCCGAGCGGCAGGCGAAGCACTTGGTGCCCGAAGACGTGGTCACCTGGGAGAGAAAAGGGAGGGGGGCAGGAGTGAGCTGCCCTCTGCACGTGCCCAAGAGCGCCGTCTCCCCCCCCTGCCCAGAGGCCCCGGGCGCCGGCCCCCCACCTCGAAGCAGAACTCCTGGCCCAGGATGCTGCTGTGGACCGGCTTGATCAGGGAGTCCTCGTCCAGGTTCAGCTCCAGGGCTTCGGCCGCGCTGCTGGGGCTCAGCAGGGACTCGTGCGAGTGCGACTCCTTGAAACTCTGCATCAGGCGAGCCCTGCGCGGGAGGGGGGAGAGCACATAGTCAGCGGGGAGGGTTGCGGCCGGTGGGGGGTGTCAGAAGCCGGGGAGGGGGAAGCAGAAGAGCCCTCGTTTGGGGCAGGGAGGGGGTACCTGGCATCTGCCCTCCAAAGGGGCATCTCTGCAGCTGCAGGATATCCGGGAGTCGACCCCGGCAGAGGGGGAGGCCGGCGGGGGAGGGCACCGGGCAGGAGGGTCCTCTGGATGACGGGGAAGGGGCTCTGGGCCCCCCAGGGGGTCCGCAGAGGGCCAGGGGTCGGGTCTGCCCTCCTCACGGCCAGCCAAGCTCCGGAGCCCCCTTCCCAGAGGGAGCCGGCAGAGTCCGTGTGCGGCTGCTCACCCCCCCCTCCCTTCCCCGTGGCATTTCTGCTCGGAGCTGCCGCCCCCAGCGGGATATATTTAGCCCAGCAGCGTAAGTGGAAGCAGCCCCTGCGTGTCGGGGCTGCCGTCAGCCGGTGGGGGGGGAGGCAGGCAGGCGCTAAAAATACCCAGGGCACCCAGGACGGGACTTGGGGGGGGACAGGCAGTGGGGGGTCCGAGGGGAGCCAGGAGGGCCACAGGGCACCCTGGGCTCAGAGGGAGGGTCCGGCTGGCCCCTGAGACCCCCTCCCCTCCGCCCCCCCTCCCTGAGCAGAGGGGAGGGGCCGCCGGGGCCCACCTGTCGTGGTCGGCGCTCCGGAAGCGCGGCAGCATCTGGCGGAAACTGCTGGTGCGGTCCAGTTTGGGCTGACTCTTGGTGCGCTTGATGGAGCTCTTCAGGCGGCGGCTGAGAAAACCCTGTTGCTGCGGGCAGGCGGGGGAGGGGGGGAGGGAGGGAGGAGAGGGGGGCGGTCAGGGGGCCTGTGGGTCACCCCCTCCACCCCTCCCCAGGCGCTGTGGGGTCCTGGGAGGGAGGCCAAGGGGGTCCCCGAGGGGCAGCGACCACCAGTCCTCCCCCTCCCTCTGAAAAGGCGCCTGGCTCAGCCCCGGCAGGAATGGCCCGTTTCCACCGAAAGGCTCGGCCACGTGGCCCTCGGTGGGCTCGGCCTCTTTTCCAGCAGAAACATACACACACCCCTCCAGGAAAGACCTTGGCTGGATCAGGCCCAGCACCCGGAGATTCCCACAGACTCCCTGGTTGGGGGAGCGGCTGAAAGGCCGAAAGAGGCCCAACTGGCCCCCTCGGCCGGGGCCTGGTCGGGAGAGCCCCCTAGCCACAAAGGACCCTCCAGAAATGACCGCCGTTCAGTGGCCGTCCTCCACGCATCCCACCTTGGTCCCGGGAAGCTGATCTGAAGCCAGCCCATCTTCCCCCAGAACCTGCCTTTCTTTCCTTGTGGCCTCCTTTCCCTGCTCGGCCGCCTCGCAGACCGACGGAAAGTTTGCCGACTTTTGCCCAGCAGCCACGCCGGCTTCCCAGGATCCAAGATGCCCCCCCCCACACCCCCAGGGCAGGCCTAACTGCTTTTTCTTAGGACGGGGCAGGAGGGGGGAGGCAGCCCCCCAGCCCAGGGCTGCCAGGATGACCCTCCCCCCGAAACACCAGATTCCCTGGGAGGGGGGGGAGAGACACGGCAGTCGACATGTCACCATCTTCCTGCCCGGTCTCTGCTCCTTTCCCACAGTGGAGCCCCTCCACACACACACACACGTGGGAGCATCTGGCAGGCAGCTTCTGGACCCTCTGCCCCCCACCCAGCCCCACTGGTGGCCAGTTCCTTCCTCCAAAGCCGGGGCTGGGTCCAGCACGGCGAGCAAATGGGGGCAGGAAGGGGGCAGAGGCCAGGCCGGCAGCCCCATGGGGGGCGTCACTGCTTGCCCTGCTCGAGTCCCCTCCCTCCAGGGCAGGGGTAGGCCACCTTGGCTCTTTTAGGACTCGTGGACTTCAACTCCCAGAATTCCTGAGCCAGCTGTGCTGGCTCAGGAATTCTGGGAGTTGAAGTCCACGAGTCCTAAAAGAGCCAAGGTGGCCTACCCCTGCCCCAGAAGGTTATGGGGCAGTGAGGCAGACTGCTTAGCACCTGGGGCACTTCCGCTTGCTTTCGCAGGCCCCTCCCAGCGCAAGGGGCTGGACTAGATGGCCTCTTAACGGAAGGTACCTTGTGGCTCAGCCAGCCCTTCCCCTGATCCCTGCCCCTACTGAAGAAAAAGGGAGGGGGAGGCTCAGGGAGAGGGCAGACGAGGCCTGTGGGGGGAGGGGGGCTGTCACTCACCGAGGAACGGAAGGGAGGGGCCGGAGGGGCATCCATGTTGATGCTGTACTGCTTCCCCCCAGGGACGCTCTTCCTCCGGGAGCGGCTGGCGTGGTACTCTGCAGGGGGGGGAGAGAGGGGCAGCGTCCACCTCCTGGGCACCCCCACCGAAGGGCTTCCAGGGGGGGGGAGAGCAAAGACCCAGGAGTGCGTGCGAGAGCAGGACCCCTCTCCCAGCCCTCCCCAGCTCCTCCAGCCTGCCCCCTCCACTCCGCCACCCCCAGGATGAGGGACTGCCACAGGGGCACCCCAGTTCCTCCCAGCCCACTTGGGGAGGCACCCCCACCCAGCCAGGTCCCCCTCCTGCCCGGAGGAGGGGGCCAGCCGGGCCCTCAGCCACCCCAAGGCAGGGAATAGTAGTCCTACACACGGCCGGCCCTCTGGGCCCCAGCTAGAACCCCCTTTCCTTTCCCCCCCGAGTCCTCCCTGCTTGACCCCAAGCACCCCCGGGGCCACCAATCAAAGGGTCCCAGCCCGGGCTCACCCCAAGAGTAAGGAAAGTCCCAGTGGGCTTAAGTGGGGACCTGGGTCTCCTTTGGGGGATCCCCGAATTGGCGACCAGGAATCGCAGGCACCGTCAGCCAAGAATCGGGGGCCACCAAATCCCTCTCCCCCCCCACCGTGAAGCAGGCTCTGGATGGGCAGGTTGACTCGGAGGGAGCCCCACCCCGTCCTTCACGCGAACTTATTCTTCCGTATCGTGGAACAATCCCCTCCGTGTGGAACCCCCATCATGCACCACCTGTAATGAACGGTCTGCCTCGCGATCCATAAATAGAGCGATATTTCCTACTTGCTCACCGAGAACGCGATTATGTGTGTGTTTTCTAACACTTCTAACCAAGAAATAAATTTATTTTTTTTCAGTTTGAAGGCCTCCCAGGCTCCAAAGCAGCTCACAAGCAGCTCCCCCCCGCCCCTGCCCCCCCAACAGCCGGGGACCCCCTTCCTGGAAGCCCGGATGAGGAGCTGCTGAAGGGGTGTCTGAACGCGCCCGGGGAGAGGACGTGGGAGTGGGGGGTCCACAGGGGCAGCTGGCCAAGAAGCCCAGAGGCTGCTGCTGCTGCTCTGGGGGTGGGGAGAGGGGATGCCATGGGTCACGCAGGCCCAGTGGTGGGATTCAAAGAGGTGAACAACCGGTTCTCTGTGCGGATGCCGCTTCCGGAAGTCCGTTCTGGGCCCGGGCAACAAAAAAATAGCTACCGGTTCTGCCCAAGTGGTGTGAACCAGCTGAATCCCACCACTGAGCAGGCAAGCAACCGCCCCCCCCAGGCTGAGAGGGAGGACCCCAACCCCATTGGAGGTTCTCTTCCCTTCCTCCCAGGGCTATTCAGCCAGGGATGGGGGGAGTCAAGGAGGGCCACGGGGGGGGGGCAGATATTCACCTCCCATTCTCATCAACACTGCTTGGTCAGACCAAACCTCCCCGCAGGGCCACGGGGGCTCTTCTCAGGGGGGGGTGGAACACCACCCATTGAAAGCCCACATGCCCTTCATCCCTGGGGACCCCCCTCGCCTTCCACAACCATCCCCACGCAGCCCCCTGCCAGGAAGAACAGAGGTGCAAAAACAGCGGCCCCGTCCAGACCCCGCCGGGCCTCAGGAAGGGAGAGGGGACCAGGCAGCCCATGTGGCAGAGCTGCCCCCCCCAAGGGGGCTGGCAGGATGCCGCCTGCCGTCCTGCAGAGGGCACAGTCACCGCAAACCCCCTTGCCTGGTCCTTTAGCCCCCATGTGCAGCAGGGCCCCCCCTGTGGCCCTTGAGCAGCACCAGCTGCCAGGATCTGTAGAGAGGACCCCCCCCCGGGCTCTCTGGCACCAGGCACAGCCACCCACCGGCTCTGCCACCATCTGTCTTGCCCGCCTGCCTGCCGCTCCGCCACGCCAGCCCTGCGAGCCGCTGCCTCCGCCCTGTGCCCTCCTGCTCCCCCCAGGCCAGAGCAGCCCCCTCCCTCCCGTGTGAGGGGAAGGAGAGGGAGCGAATCCCCCCCCACCAGAGCCCCTCTCTGCTGCCCCCTCTTAGGGCAGGGCCTTATTCTGGAAGGGGGGGAGGCCTTTTGCCCACCAGTCCCCGGGAGACCCGGTCAGCTGGAAAGAGCCCCCCCCCAGGAGAGCCAGGAAACGATGGGGCTGGATGAGACCCCTGGCCCGCCTGCTTCTCCTCCTGGTGGCCGACCACCTGCACAGCTAAGACGCTCGCTCGCTCTCTCACACACACAAACCCACACAAGCACACACACAAACACACCAGCCTCCTGAACTGCAGCAACGGGAGGGGGGCTCAGCCGGGTCCCCCCACCACACGCGGGACCGAGTCTGCCCCAAAGCGCAGACCCCCCCCCTACCCCGACCCTTTCGCCAAACGCCGCTGCTGCACCCGGACGACCCCCGCCTGGCCCCCCCGGCGCCACGTGACTGCCCGGGCCCGATCCGGCCGCTAAGACCACCCCCGGGTTCACCCACGTGCCAACACACCGACGGACGCAGCTGCCGAGCCAGCCGAACTCCTCGACGTGGGAACGCGGGCAGGAGGCGGTCGCGCGCTCGCACATCAGCGGCAGCGGCGCTCAGCCAGACTCTCCCCGGGCCGGAGCCCCGGAGCCCATCGTCCCCTGCAGGACAGGGGGGGCAGCACCGGGGTCGGGGAGGGGATCGAAGCGGCCGCGGAAGGCAGGGACCCCCAGCGAGGCCGCCCTGGCCCGGGAGCTCAGCGGTGGCTCCGCCGGAGGGCAGATCGCGGGCGGCGGCGGCGGCGGACGGGGCAGCCGGCCGGGAAGGGCAGGGAGCTCGGGGTCCGGGAGAGCCGCGCAGGCCTCCGCCGCCGCCAACGACCCCGCGCCCGGCCGGGCCTGGCAGCGGCGTCCCCGGAAGCGGCGCCCCCCAGGGAAGGCAGGCGCCCCGGGCCGGCAGCGGCCTCCAGCTCCGCGCGCGCGCCCGAGCATCACGCCCGCGACACCCCCGCACTCNGCCCCCGGTCTACCTGCGGGCGGGGCGCGGGCGGGGCGGCGGCGGCGGCGGCATCTCCTGGCGCAGCAGAGCCCGAGGGCGGCGCGGGGGCAGGCGGGGAGCGGCGGGGGGGCCCCGGGGGGCGGAGCTTCCCGGGGAAGCATCCCGGGGCCGCCCCGGAGGAGGCCCTGCTGCTCCGTCCAGGCCGGCCGGCTAAGCGGGGCGCCGGCAGCGGCTCCGTCCACCCTGGCGGGCAGGGACGGCGGCTCTCCTCCCCGGGAATGGCTCCACCCCGCCTGGGCGGCGATGGGGCCGCGGCTGCTGAACCCCGGCCGGGTCAGGCGGGGTCAGCGGCGGGCGGGGGGAGGATCCGGCAGGGGGCGCTGCTGGCCCGCGGCCAAGGAAGGGGAGGGGGCGTCCCTTCGCTCCGGCAGGCAGGCAGGCAGCCTTTGCCTTCCTCTCTTCTTTGGGGTTTCCATGGAAACCTTTTAAGCCAACTTCTCCGGGAGGCCAAATTCTTTTTTTAAACCCCAAATCGGGAGGGGAAGGTGGGGGGGGGAGCCCGGGGCAGGGGGGCCGCCGGGACGGGCTGGGGGGGGGGCGCTCTGCCGGGCAGCCAGCGGGCGGGGGGGGAGGGGCCAGCAAATGGGGAGGGCCGGGGGGCAGCAGGGCCAGGAGGGCAGCAGCCTCAGCAGAGCCCCCCACCCATTCCCCAGCCCCGGAGGGAGGGAGGGAGGGAGGGAGGGAGAGAGAGAGAGAGATGGTCCCTATAGCAACAATTGTCAAGCGCCTGTCAAGGGCCCTTGCTATTATGGGCTGGGACTGGGGGGGTGGGCGTTGCAGGCAACAGCTGAGAAGGAGCTTCTGGCGGAGAGGCCCTCCGGATCCAGGGAGGGGGGGGCCTGTCTGTGCTCGGCCCCCTCCCAAGAGCTGCCCCCCCCCCGGGCCTGGCAGTGCCCTGGCCCAGGCTCCCAGCAGGGAGGGGCCTCTTGTGGCTGTTACGCATCACCCCCCCTGAAGGGTTTCCGTGAGGACACTTGCTAAATGGAGCCCCCCCAAGTAGACCCCTCCCCTCGGCACATGGGAAGGGGGTCACCAACCCCCAGTGTGAGCAGACTGCTGGGAAGGGGGTCCCTCTGCAGCTCTTCCTCTGCTCAGAGTTGGGGGGAGGGAGGGTGCCGGACCCCCACGAGGCCCCCCGCGCCCCCCCCAGTTCCACTCGCGTTGTGGCCCTTTCCCAGCTGACCCCGGCCCCCCTTCTTGCGGGCCCTTTTGGGGCCCACCGACCCGAAGCGGGGATCCTCGGGCGCAGAGAGCTTGCAATTGTGCTTCACGGTTTCAGAGTGGGGGGCGGTCGCCCCTTCCTCAGCAGCCCCCTTGGGGACAGATCCAGGCGCCCCCAGGCCTCTCCCGACCCCTTTGCAATGTGGGGGCTTTGATGGGGAGCCTCAGCCCCCACCTGGCCCTTTGACCCGCTCAAGAGCAGCCCCCCCCCCTTGCTCCCCTCTTTTGCCTTCACAGATCCATCACCCCCCCATGGGCCAAGGCCCCCCACACCAGGCAGGTCGGTCAGCCTGGGCTGAAGGAAGACGGGCCCCCCAGAGGATTGAGGCCCATGGGGCTGGCGTGGGAAGCAGGATTGCCCCCACCCCCTTTGTTTCCCTGTCAATCATTTCTCTCCCACAGTGGTTACCCCAGGATCAGGGGTAGGCAACCTTGGCTCTTTTATGACTCGTGGACTTCAACTCCCAGAATTCCTGAGCCAGAACAGAACAGAACAGAATAGAGCTGGAAGGGACCTTGGAGGTCTTCCAGTCCAGCCCCCTGCTCAAACAGGAGAACCTATACTAGGGATAGGCAACCTTGGCTCTTTTATGACTCGTGGACTTCAACTCCCAGAATTCCTGAGCATAGCATAGCTCAGGAATTCTGGGAGTTAAAGTCCACGAGTCATAAAAGAGCCAAGGTTGCCTACCCCTGCCCTGGGTTCACGAGACGGGGGTGAGGGGCTGAAAGAGGCAGAAGGAGAAGTTGGGGCCCCTCTGGCACCCCAAAGGCCTCCGGGGGTCCCCATCCCCCCTTCCTCTTGGGGCTGGGAAGGGAAGGCAGCTGAAACACGGGGTCGCCCGCAGCCTCACCCCGCCCCTCCCCAGTGGCAATTTCGCTCCAACCCCAGACTGGCAACTTCACCCCATGGAGGGCAGCTGCCCTTCGCTGGGGCTTCTATCATGGGCCTTCATGAAGGGGGTGTCCCCTCCCCAGCACAGGACCCCCTTTGCGAAAGGAGGCCAGTTCTGGGGGCCAAAGGGGGTCCTGGCCATAAAGATCTGGCGGGGGCAACTTTCCCATAACCTCCAGGACTGCCTCTTCAATGGTGGGAAAGTCTCTCACTCACACTCAAACACAAATTCAACTGACCCCCCCCCCAGCCAACCTCACTGTTTCCATCAAACCCACCCTAAGATCCCCCAGGGCCCCCCCCTCCTACCGTGCTCAGCGTGGGGCCGGCCTTCCACGGGGACGCTGACCGTCCGGCGCAGAAGCTTGTTCCGCCCGGCCTCCCTCTGGCGTTCTCGAAGGAGCAGAGGGTGAATCTTGAGGGGTGGGGGGAGAAAAGAGCAGCCCGGATCAGGGGGGGAGGAGAGTAGAGAAAGAGCACCCCCCCACACACACCCCCAGAGCCCTCTCTTCTCCGACCTCCCCCCTCGCCGCAACCCCCCCAACGCATGGTCGGCCCGTGCAACCACGGAATAAATCTCCCTGGCCTGGGTTTGCAGACCAAGTCCGATCGTGGTTTACGAGCACAATCCCGGTGGCCGCAAGACGGCTGAGCCAGACCCGGCGTAAGGGCCTGGCGTAATGTGGGAACTCGGCCCGAGGGGTCTCCCAGGGCAGAGCCCCCCCCCCCGGTCCCTTGGAAAGAAATGCCTCAGCTACTTAACCTACTTCTAGCTGGATGCGGGAAGCCGCAAACCATGATTCCCCAGCCGCCTTGCCCCCCCCATGCGGGAACCTGCTTAGCCCCTCCTGAGAATCCCCTCCTTCAATCCAGTCTTTCTGGAGCCCAGGGGGACCAGTACTTGACCCCCCCCTTGAACCCAGGAATATAGGGCGCTTCCAGGGAGAGGCCCCAGATTGGGGGGCTCAGGCCGCAGAAGGCCAGTGGGCCAAAACAATGGGGGGTGGGGCACGCGGGGGTCTCCCTGGCTGTTCCTCCTCCTCGTCTTCCTGGACTGGGGGCTTCAGCTGGATCCCAGCCCTGTGGGTGGCCCCAGTATGGGGTGTCGCTCGGCCCACCCCAGCCCCTCCCCGCTTGCTCTGCGTCCCCCGTGGGGGTAGGGTGGGGGGGCTGGAGGGAGAACCCCACCCCGTGCCCCGCTGCTCACCTCCTCCTCGTCCAGCATCAGGAGCTGGTTCCCAGAGATGATGCAGAAGCGGGGGGCGTTCCAGGGACGGTCGTAAGGAGAGTGGACATACTGCGCACGGGGCCCCGGTGCTCCTCGCACGTCTGCGGCGGAAGGGCAGAGTCAAGCAGAGCCGGCCCGGCCCGGAGGCCCCCCTCGGCCCCTCTCCCCACCAAAGGGCCTGGGATCCGGCTCTGCCAGGACGCCCCCCCCATCCCAAAGCAGTGGGAGATGCCAGCCCTCTTGGCCCCCTCTGGTTTTTTTTGAGAGAAGTGGGCTTTGTCCTATCTCTCTGCCCCGCTAGGGTGTGTCTGGGGTGGGGGCAGACTGTGGTCTTGGCCGCCTTTCCTGGCCATGAGGGTTCAGTAGTCGCTGCCACTTGGCACCTGGCAACCTGGCCTTGCTCCGTGAGGGCCACTGAGGCAGGTCTCCCTTCCAGGCTGGATGGGGGCTCCAGCTAAAGCCGGGCAGATTGGCAGGAGCAGAGGAGGGGGGGGCGGGCTCTCAGCCCAGTGAGGCTCCACCCCCACCAGAAGGGGCTCTGCAGGCCTCGGGGCCACCCTGGCACACTCTGCCCCCCCCACCTGCCTTTCCAGAGCCTGGGGGCCTCCATCCCGCTCGCCTGCCTGCCTGCCTGCCTGCACGGGTGGGGGCAGCGGGGGAGTTGTGTAAGGCCTCGGCCGGCTCTGTGCTGCCCCCCAGTGGCAAGAAGAGGCTGCCAACAGCCAGGAAAAAACGGGGGGGGGGGTTGAGGCCTCCAGCAAGGGGGCAGGCAGAGAGATGTGCAGGGGGCACCCTGGGTGGGCTCCAGGTGCTGGGAAGGGGCCGACATTCCCCACTGGGGAATCACAGCCCTGGGCGGTGATATTGCGATCCCTCAAAGATCGGGCCGGGACCCCCCCTCCCATGTCCCTGGGTTTGAGACAGGTGGAGCAGCCCCCATAGCCATCCTGTCCAGAAGCCCCTGGCCCTCCGTGCCCCACATCCTCAGGAGAAGCCCCCCCCCGACTTGTGCAGCCACAGCCAGTTGCCGGGGGGGGGGGGGAAGGGAAGGCATCGCCAGTACTGTAGGGCCAGAGCAGTACGTGAGTCTTTGGGGCAATTGCGGTGTGTGTGTGTGTGTGTGTGTGTGTGTGTGTGTGTGTGTGTGTGTGGCTGGGGTCTTGCCTTTTGAGCAAGGCCAGCTGAGAGCTGGTTGAGGTCCAGACCCACAAACCCTCTGCTTTCCCCCCCCCCCGCTCAAGAAAAGCCGGTTTTCACCCGCTGCATCCCCCAAATGGGGGGGGGCTGCAGAAAGCAGGGTCAGGAAGGCACCTAAACCCACAAGTGAGCCCCTTCTCGGCCCCTCCCAGACCCGGATCTACTGGGGAGGCAAACACACAGGAGGCTGCCCCCCCCCACAGAAGGGCTCCCTTCCCTCTGCCATCCCCTCTGCAGACCAGCCAGACCCCCGGGGGGGGGAGACAGCCAGGCCGGAGGGGTCCGGAGAGCAGTACAGCTGGCTTGGTCAGGATTTGTGCAGGGCCTCCTTTCCACGGGCTGAGGGCCTCGGTTCACAAGACCCTGGCCTCACTTTCCTAACCCAGGTCAGGGACACAAGCCGTACGTAGCCCGTTCTCTCTGCCAAGGGATCCGGCCCCCGAGTGGCCAGGTGAGTCTCAGTCTCTCTCTCTCTCTCTCTCCTCTTTCTCTTTTTCTTTCTCTCCCTCTCTCTTCTTTCTCTCTCTCTCCCCCTCTCTTCTTTCTCTCTCTCTCTCCTCTTCTCTTTCTCTCTCTTCTCTTTTTCTTTCTCTCTCTTCCCCCCTCTCTCTTCTTTCTCTCTCTCTCCCCCCCTCTTCTTTCTTTCTCTCTCTTTCTTTCTCTTCTCTCTCTCCTCTCTTTCTCTCTTCTTTCTCTTTTTCTTCTTTCTTTTCTCGCTCCTCTCTCTTTCTCTCTTCTCTTTCTCCTCTCTTCTCTTTCTTTCTCTCTTCTCTTTCTTTTTCTTTCTCTCTCTCTTTCTCTCCCCCCTCTCTCTCCTCTTCTCTTTTTCTTTCTCTCTTTCTCCCCTCTCTCTTCTTTCTCTCTCTCCCCCTCTCTCTTCTTTCTCTCTTTCTTTCTCTTCTCTCTCTCCTCTCTCTTTCTCTCTTCTCTCTTTCTCTTTTTCTTTCTCTTCTTTCTTTTCTCTCTCTCCTCTCTCCTCTTTCTCTCTCCTTTCTCCTCTCTTCTCTTTCTTTCTCTCTTCTCTTTTTCTTTCTTTCTCTCTCTTTCTCTCCCCCTCTCTTTCTCTCTCTCTTTCTCTCTTCTCTTTCTCTCTTTCTTTTTCTTTCTCTCTTTCTCTTTCTCTCTTCTTTTTTTTTCTCTTTCTCTCCCCCCTCTCTCTTCTCTTTCTCTCTCCTCTTTCTCCTCTCTTCTCTTTCTTTCTTTCTTTCTCTTCTTTCTTTTTCGTTCTCTCTCTTTCTCTCCCCCTCTCTCTTCTTTCTCTCTTCTCTTTCTCTCTCTCTTTCTCTTTTTTTTTCTTTCTTTCTTTCTCTTTCTCTCGTCTTTTCTCTCTCTCCTTTCTCTTGTCTTTCTCTCTTTCTCTCTCTTCTCTTTCTCCTCTCTCTCTCTCTCTCATTCCTTGCCATCATGATTTGCATCTATCAGATGTATCCGTGTTTTTTTGGGTGGAGGGGGAATGAATTATTTACATTATTATTACTGTTATTCTTACGATTTTCCTATATATTATTTTCTCTCTCCCCCCCCATCCCCCGTGCGATATGTTGACACGGGAGAAAGGAAAAATGAGCACCCTGCATTTTCATCAAGGGGGGGTGAAGCTAAAAGGCTCCTCCAGGGAAGACGAGCGATGGGTGACAAAAAAAAACCCCGGGACGGAAAGAATTAACCCAGCCCAGAATCCACCTACGGAACTCCTTGCCACAAGATGTGGGTCTGATTGCAGAGTAACCCAAAGGGCTTCCAAAGCTCAAATCGCCCCCCCCCCGGGCTTGGCACGGCTGGCGTGGGGCATCCGAGTTGTAAACAGACAGAAACTCAACAGGTTTTAACATGCAGGCAAACCCCGGACCCAAACCGGCCGGTTGTGTTTTAGCCTAAGGCCTGGCCCAGCCCTCTCGTTCCCGTGGCCCGTGGGGTACCCGGGGCCACGCCAGGGGTGGCGACCCAGAGTCGGCCCTTTGGGGGAGGGGGCTGTCCAACTGCTCTCTTTCCCCCCCCCCCGCCTTCTTTAGCTAAGCTGGATTGGTGGATTAATTAATTCATCCGATTTAACGCCTGGGCCACCCACTCCCAAACTCGGCTCCGCAGGGCTCACCATGAAAGGCGACTCCTCCAACGGAGGACACAACAGGCCAGAAAAGGGGGGGGGGCGGGGGGGGCAGCACAAACAGAAAAACAAAGTAAAGCACAAAGTCCTAAGAAAACAAGCAGGATTGGTCAGTTCCGGAAGGGCATAATTT